CGCCACGGCGGCACTGCGGCATGGCTATACGGTGGCGCAGTGGCACGGTGGAGGCGGGAGGATGGCCCCACGGCGGCGGCACGGCGGCGGCACGGCGGCAGCACGGTGGCGGCACGGCGGCGGCATGACGGCGGCACGGCGGCGGCACGGCGGTGGCACGGCGGCGGCACGGCGACGGCACGGCGACCGCACGGTGGTACGGCGGCACGGCGGCGGCACGGTGGCAGCATGGCGGGGGCACGGCGGGACAGTGGCACGGTGGCGGCGCGGCACGCTGGGGACAGCAGGAACGAGAGCTAGCGCAAACGGGGCCAGGGGGGCACAATGGACCAGCAGGGCACTAGGGGGCCAGCGGGGCAGGAACGGGGCCAGCAAGGTGCACGGGGCCAGCCAGGCGCACAGGGCCAGTAAGGTGCATGGGGCCAGCAAGGGCGCACGGGGACCAGCAGGGCACGACGAAACCGGCGAGGCGCAGCACTAAGGCTAGGGCGTATGGGGCGTACGGGGCCGACGTGGCCAGGAGGGCGCTATTGGGCTAGCGGGGCACTGAGGAGCCTGCAGGGCGTATGGGGCTGGCGAGGCGCACGGGGCAAGCGAGGCTCGATAGGGGCAGCGGGGCGCTAACGGGGCCTGCGAGGCGCACGAAGCTAGCAGAGCGCGACGGGGCGTACGGGGCGTACGGGGCCAAGAGGGCGCTAACGGGCCAGTGCGGAGCCTAGGGGCCAGCGGGACGTATGGGGCTAGGAGGGCGCTAACGGGGCCTGTGAGGCGCACGGGGCTAGCAGGGCGTGACGGGGCTAGCAGGGCATACTGGGCCAAGAGGGCGCGAACGGGCCAGCGGGGCGCCTAGGGGCCAGCGGGATGTACAGGGCCAGGAGGGCTCTAACGGGCCAACGGGGCGCTTACGGGCCAGCGGGACATAAGGGGCCACGAGGGCACTACCGGGCCAGTGGGGCAATAAGGGGCCAGCAGGGCGTACGGGGCCAGGAGGGCGCTAACGGGCCAGTGGGGTGCTAAGGGAATTGCGGGGCGCTAAGGGAAGGGCGAGGGCGAAAGCGGGTGGGGGGACGGAACCTACTGGATACCATCTCAAAGTAGCGAGATGGTTAGAAAGATCAGTACAGAGTACTTTTACCTAGTGGGTTGTACTCTCTAAAGGCATACACCTAACTAGCCTATTCTAACATATTGCATATATGTTTAACATATTGCACCGAACACTCCAAAGCGGAACACTGCAATTTACCGTTACTTTCCATTAAGCCGTTTTCCCTGCTATAAACAATGGCCTTACTGTCCACATCAGTCGCAAAAGTAGCGAAACACTCCCAGAAAAAACACACGCAACAAATGCAGCAACAAATGCAAACCTTCTGAGCTCATGTAGGACACCCGAAATCGAGGAGAACAACAACCAAAGCCTACAAAAATCACGGTGCACGTATCTCCTACAATCCCGTTAGGCCCGGGGTTACCAGCACCATCGATACTCTCCAGCGCAGCTCTGTTATTGACGCGCAGTGTTCCGTCGAAAAGGGGTAGCATTTGTGGGGAGCGTTTCTTCACTGTTGCAGAAAACTTGCCACAAAGTCATTAACAATCAAGATGGGAAAAATGAAATATTGGAGACGATCCAGAGCGTTGAAGACTTTCTCGCAAGTTTCCTGCCACAGGGTAGGAACGCGAGCCCTGAGTTTCCACAGTAGGACTCTCTTTCCGATTTGGAAGGGTAAACGTTGAGCCTTGTCTATTGTTTAGGGCTCATTTTCCGGGGCGCATTTTATTCGCAAAGCAGGATAGAGGCAGGCAGGGTTCGGATTGGGGAGTGTTTGTGGGAGGAATGTTTATGGCTGTGACGGGCCTTAGCTGAATTTCCTGGGTTGCGGGAGATGTGGGAAGCATGTTCGTGGCTGTGGGGGACTTCGCCGAATTTTATAAGTTGTGGGAGGTGTGGGAAGAATGTACTGGTTGTGGTAACTTCATCAGTTTTCCTGGGTTGCGAGTGGTGTAGCATGTAGGAGGGATGTTCAGTGGCTGTGGGGACTTCGCCAAAAACCTGCACTTTAAGGGAATTTAGGTGACTCACGCTTAGGGTACAGATCATGCTTTCAGACGAACCAGAACACTGAGTCTGGAACATCAGACGGTCTAGAATCAGATAATCAAGAAATCGATTTCTGAAAAATCAGATAATGCCGAAAAAATATGTATGAAAATCAGACCAAAAGACAATTTTTTTCTTATACCAAGCTCGGCCCGACAATTTAGGTTCAAACTATGTTCGAGACCCCAAGCCTACACGCGGTGTCGCATTCGACACTTCCGAGTCCCGAGGCGCCCCAAACCACCTCGCGTGTGTTTCGTGGCCTTCCTCGAGGCTCCCTTGCTAGGTTAGCTGTGCTTGTATTTATGTAGCCCTGTGTTTCATTTGTACTCAACACACTTTAATCACGACCTCACTATTGCATTACTCGACTCCTATCAGGAGATTACCATAACAACTTGTATCACATCTATGTTCCTGGCCATTTAGGCTTCTGTAGTGAGGTAGTTTTTAGAGGGAACTCGCACGTTAGGAGACAGGAGCTGTCCAGCGGTCGTGCAGAAAATTCTTCAGTTCCGCCGACTTTGTCGTGTGCGCTCCAGGTCTCTAAGGCTGCAGGTGCCCGAAGTGACTTTAGTGGCGTTAGCTAGTTAGGGTAATTCATGGTCAATAGCCCTCCTCGCCGTAGTACTAGAAATATGACTCCCTAGCAAATAGCTGTATTGTTAGAGGCGGCAGCAAGCGCGTCAGTGTTGACGATGAAGGTCGGCGAAATGATGGCAAAGATGGAGGCCATGGCCCTCGAGGCTGTGTTGAAAGATGAGAGCGTGAACCTTTGCCAAGCGAGTGGTGCGACGCGTCAAGAGTCGCCAGTTACCGTGGACGAAGACCGTGCGAGCGCGCATCAACCGCAAGCAACGTCAGCGATACGTGACGACAATTCGAGCAAGCCACAGGCAGTCGTGAAGATAAATTTTGCCATGCCCCCGCCGTTCAAACCACTGGAGAAGCACCCCACGCTGAGTGGGTGGCTATTTGCCATGGAATTTTTCTTCAATGCCACCGACGTCAACGACGATGAGACACGTGTCAAGTTGGCGGTGTCTTTATTACGCGGACCTGCACTAAGTTGGTGGTGACAGTACGTGACGTCTTGAGGGACTCCAGCAGACCGGCTATAGGCGATGGACGGGGAGCAACGATTGGCTTCGACTTCTACAGGACCCTTGTTTGGTGTGGCCGAGGTCCTTGCCTAGCAACAGTGGGGTGCACTGCTTCGCCGGCGCTTCGAGCATGTATCTGCATGTGAGTCTGCACGGGTGGGGTCAAATGGGTTCTGTGCTGGAGTACACTTCATCCTTCCTCGCCATCTGCGAGCAAATTGACGATCAACACGAGACTGAAAAGAAGAGTCGATACATCCTAGGGCTGAAGCTGGAGGTCCCGCGCGAAATTCGCATGCGCCGCCCGGCGACATTCTTCGAAGTGCAGCAGGTCGCAAAAGCGTGAGACGAGAACAGTGTATGGCCGAAGACAAATTTCTGAGAGGGAAGCTGTCTTCAAGGGCAGAACCTTTAGCCATCCATCAACGGCGTAGCGGCACCGTTAGATAACAATTTTTCTGGCAGTTGATATAAATGTGGGCAGCCGGGGTACATCATGCGAGACTGTCTGGGGTTGCAGAAATTGGGAGCTAACGACGGAAGGAAGCTAGGAAATGGACAGCATCTGTAGCATTCGGGGCCCCTACTTATAAGGCTTCATCACCCAAAGATCACCATTCCCACCAAGTAGTAGTGCCGATCTATGCGATCGATCACACCCGGTTAAAGGGGAGTGAACCTGTTGACTGCCCTGTGCTTGTTGAAGAGCGTGTTGGCAACACGAGATAAAAAATATTTGTGGATGGCCGAGCATCATGCAGTTTGTTCGATATGACAAGAACGAAAAGACTGCAGCTACAAATGGAGAGGTGCATGCCCATGATTGATGCACGGTTGGTCGACGGCACGCCACTTGCAATTCGAGAGCGGGTGAAACACGTTCGCATTGATTATGACAACCAAGTCAGTTTCGCCATGAAGATGCTGGCGACAACGTTGGACGGCTGCGATTTGCTCCTGGGGCGCGATTGGTTCACACGTACAATCAAAGCATCGATTGGAGGAATGGTGACATTCGTTTGAAGTAGGGCGGCGAGTGGAGACGACTGCCAAAGTGGAAACCACTCGACCCTCAGTCAACATTGGTGAACAACGTGAATATCAAGCGCGTGATGACACGTGACGTGGACAAGTATGCTCGTCCGATGGAACGCATCAATGGAGGTGGCTGAACAAGCTGACCTAGAGAAGCTGTGTGATGCTTTACCTAAGGACCTAGCGAATATCATGCGCAAATTTGAGAAGATATTTCCAGACGAACTACCGCCCGGCCTGCCACGCGAATGACCACACAATCATAAGTTTGAGCTGGAACCAGAAGCGCAACCGACCGTCTGATCGCAATGGAGGCTGAGTCAACCGCGGCTGATGGAGCTACATACACAAGTGGATTATCTGTTGGAGAAAAAATTCATCTACGTCACCCTACGCTGCGCCGATTCTCTTCACCCTCAAAAAGGAAGGAGGGCTTCGGATGTGTACCGACTATCGCACGCTCAACATCATCACCATCAAGTCGCGTTACTCCATCCAATGACACGACGACCTCATCGACCAAATTCGCCGGGCCTGGATTTTTTCCAAGATTGATCTACGAGGAGGTTACCACCAGATTCGTGTCGCCGAAGCTGATATTCTGAAGACTGCATTTCGAACACGTTACGAAAGTTACAAGTCTACAGTGATGCCGTTTGGGTTTACGAACACGCCCTCAATATTTAAACTGACCATGAACGAAGTCTTCCGCTGGACAAGTGCGTCATCGTCTACCTGGATGTCATCCTAGAGTACAGCACCACTCGGGAACAACATTTGAAGGATCTGGAAGAATTTCTTACCCTCTGCGATCAACACCGCCTCATCACCAAAGGCTCTAAGTGCGAGTTCTTAAAGGAGGAGCTGGAATTTCTTGGGCCACATCATTTCCACTCAATGTGTTAAAATCGATTTGAAAAAAAAATCGCTACGATTCGCAACTGGGAGCCGCCTACCAACATCAAGGAGTTGCAGAGTTTTCTGGGGTTTTCAACTACGTGCGCCATTTTATTCCTAAAATGGCGGAGTAAACTGCCCCGCTAACCGACTTGCTGCAGAAGGGAGTTCTTTTTTAGTGGGGGGAGAGGAAACAAGTTGTGTTTGACCAAATGAAGACTTTCCTCATGACACCACCCGTTCTTCGTATCGCCAACCCCGATCGCCCTTACGAACTAATTACGGACGCCAGCGACATCGCCGTTTGCGCGTTACTGTTACAGGAGTTTGGCGAAGGCCTGCAACCAATCGCCTACGACTCTCGAGAACTCCAAGGCGCTGAACGGAATTACCCAGTTCACGATAAAGAAATGCTCGCGATTGTCAACGCCTTCAAGACCTGGCGCTGCTACCTATCAGGTGCCGATGCTACTCTTTGAATAGACCACAAGTCCCTATAGTTCCTAAAAGGCCAACCGACCCTCAATCCACGTCAGATTCTTTTGCTTGAATATCTCGAGTCAAACTTCCACTACCACATCACCTACAAAAAGGGGGCAACAATTATTGTCGATGCCCTTTCTTGCCCTACTGCCCATACATCCGCCGTACTAATCGCCCAAGCCAATCTGCTGCTAGCTGGACTTTTTACCCACGACTACAATACCGACCCCCTTTTCACCTCTAACGGCCTTTTTCTTCTTCTTCTTCTTCTTTTTCTTTTGGGCTTTAAGGAGATCCCAGGAGGAAACCAGTCCCCCTTTCCCACGCCGATCCACCTACGAGCCATGGGGGAAACCCCCGAGCGCCCGAGACTTCACCCGTATTGCGGAGGGTAGGCGGTCCGGGCTGGCAGTACCCAGCATGTGCGGTGCTCCGCTAAAACCCCGCACCGATCACCGTTGAAGCGCGTGCCCCGTTTCGGGGACAGCCGTACCTAGACGGGCATCGGCATCAGAGGGAGGCGTAACACGTAACCCCCACATCCTCTAACGGCCACCAGGCCTTGACTACTCAACGAGGCCACTACCACCTAAAAGCTGTACTGATTGAATTTGGGTTCCATCCTATCGACTGTTACAAGAATTACAAACACAGGAGGTTCATGACGCTATTTGCTCATGACTTTCGGGGTTGACAAAACCTTGAAAATGCTCCCACGTCATTATTACTGGCCGAATGCAAGCCATGACGTGCAGCGATATGTGGCCTCATGTCCCACCTACCAACTAATAAAATCCTCTCGCCAAAAGCCTGCTGGATTACTACAACCGTCAGAACCGCCCACAAAGCCCTGGACATATGTATCCATGGACTTCGGGACAAGACGCCGGCCGATGCATCGGCCGCGGTCGTTGATAAACTCACAAAAATGGCTCATTTCGTGCCATGCCGAACGACGATCACAGCTGAGCAAACTGCCAAGCTGTTCATCTCAACCGTCGTTCGCCTGCACGGAATCCCCAAGGTGATCATGAGCGATAGTGAACAGTATGGTACATGACTCCATCTGTCCACGCCTTACCACCACAAACTTACGGCCAGACTGAACTGACAAACCAGACCATGGAGCAGCTGATATTGACAACATGTACGCTCCTGTTGATCGAGTTTCCGTATAATAATACCCCTTCGTCCACGACTGCCTAATCCCCGTTCTACCTAAATTACGATCTAAACCCCACGACTCCCACTATACCTTTAGTTAAGAGTCCTGCCCCACGGTTGCAACAGTTCGTCAAGGACTTACAGAATGCACAGAAAAACGCTACCGAGGCTATTTCAAATGCCAACCTTACTGCCAAACGGTACGCGGACAGGCATAGATAGGACTTACCCCTGTCTCCTGGGCAACTAGTCCTTCTGGACACCAAGAATTTAGGGTTGAGTTTACCACATAAACTCCGCCCGAGATTCTGTGGGCCCTTCCGATTTATTCGAATGGTGACACTTGTCACTCCCAACCTACTATTACCGGATGACTAACGTATCCACAATTCCTTCCTCATCAGCCTCCTTCGTCCGTTTGTCGTGAACACAACTGATCTCGACCGTCAATGAGTCTATCCCTCGATCAAACCCGTCCCCGAGCCAACTTCCAAAGTACAGCAGATCCTTTCCCATCGAAATTGCCGCGACCAAGGTTTAGGAGTTTTGGAGTTTATGGTCCGATGGGTTGACCGTACGTGCGACAACGACATGTGGGTCTCAGCCTCTACCCTCGACAACCACCCACTGGTGCAGGCCTATTTACACGATTGGGCTGCCCCTGATGTGGGTAGTCTTGTCTAGGAGGGGGGAAGGTGTAAGGAAAATCTCTTTTCCTTATTAAGCCTCGCTACATCGAGTACAGCCCTGACTTTCGGAAGTCCATGCTCGGCCCGACAATTTCGGTTCGAACTACGTTCGAGTCCCCAAGCCTACACGCGGTGTCGCGCCCGACACTTCCGAGTCCCGAGGCGCCCCAAACCACCTCGCGTGTGTTTTGTGACCTTCCTCAGGGCTCCCTTGCTAGGTTAGCAATGCTTGTATTTAGCCATGTGCTTCATTTGTACTTGACCTCACTACTGCATTACTCGACTCCTATCTAGAGATTATCATAATTACCATGCATTGGTTCTTCTAGTCGATGAGGAAGGGAGGTCGGGGTGAAGGTCGATGAATTGGTTATACGCCATCAAGTTTTTGCAGCTGATAAATGAACGTCATACTGCTCTGGGCTGTTTCTGCTACATCCAGTTATGGCCTACCCCACAACCTTCTTTTCTAACCAGATTTTTGCCTCGCCATTGCACAAAGAGCGGCGATTTTCTGCATAGCAATTCTCCAACCAGTAACTGTCACCAGTCTTGAAGGCGATCCCCGCAAAAAATGTGCGCTTTCTCGGTCGCACGGATCACCACCAGATGGTGCGATGTAGACAGATTTTGCTACAAAACGGAAATGAAACAAGATTAGACAGGTGAGGGGGAGAGGGAGGAAATCTCCTCTCTATCTCAAGGTGAGAAGGAATGAAAGGGGAGGAAGAGACATGGAGATGGAGCAATTGGAGGAATACTAGAAGCATGATGAGGGCCGCCAATAATTCCAGGCCTTGACAAATTTCTTGGCTCTAGCTATCCTGCCCCTCGTACGACAGAATCCAGCTGAACCGCGACACGTCATTTGAGACGAGGCAAGCATGCAGTGCAGCCGCGCGGTAGCCGCGATTATCATTTCCAGTTAGGGCGGATTCCTACGAAGTTGGATCTCCACTAGAGCTGGCTTTACTCGATGTGGATCCGCATTAGACCCTGTTTTTTTTCAACCTGCAGATCTGCCGAGCCCTGTGACATCGCAAGGCTCTGACGGCCACCGCTTGTATGCATGAGCAGTATGCCATACATGCAGGAGTGGGAGGGCAGACCCCACGAAGCAACCATTGGCTCATTGCATAAAATGTATTCACACAACTGCACGACAACAATATCCCTTCGCATATTGCATTCGCGGTTCCAGGATGTTCAGACTGTCCATGCAGAGCAGCCTGTCAAGCAAAAAAACACAGCGCATCCTGCTGGACGACACACAAATGGGATAAAGGGGACTAGTCCTAGTCGTGTATAGCCAACCAGCCGCCATTGATAGAGGAACAACGCCATACCATCGTTGCGTACCACATGGCGCAGTCCAACAACCTCCCGTTCATTGCCTACCTCCTAGTTGTGTGGTCCGGCTGGTATTATGAAACCTGGCTCGAAATGGCAGTAAAGGCATGCCTCGTGCATCTTAAAGGCTTGGCCGAAGAGGAGCTCAAAACGGAAACACCAGCGCCCCGTGGCCCGACGCGTCGACGTGATCACGAATTTCGAAGGCGCCGTCTAGAGATATCGGAGGAGGAGCTCGATACACTCAGCGACACAATGTTCGCCGACCTCTTCCACATAATCCGCAAGATGGTTGAGCACATATGTCAGGGAATGCGAGAGGTAATGCTGCTTCTCGCCACCCGTCATCTCATCCCACTACAAATCGCGATTCTGATTCCAATAAAATATTTCGCAACGTGCATGTCATTTCTCAACATGGCCATGCGGTTTGGGGTCATGAAAACCCTCTGCCACCTTATTAACAATACATTCTTAATGCACTTTCCACGGCGATTCAAAAAAGAGTGGGCCAGATTTCCAACAAGAGAACACATGGGATATGGCCCAAGAATTAAAGGGCTTCAAAGGTATACCCTGTGTGATCGGTGTTGTGGACGGCACACATTTGCAAATCCGCGGAATGGACGGGCATCGCACAGAGTACTATTTACGCAAAAGCCAATATGCCGTACAGTTACAGCCCAATTGTGATGCACGAGGTGTGAGAGTACGACCCCGTTACACCACTTGGCCTTTCCTTATTTCCTTCCTACTTCATTTCTCTTTTTATCTCATCTCATTTGGTTTCCTATTCTCTATTTTCCATTATCCTTTGGTTTATCCTGATATTCTAATTATATCACCGACCAGGCTTGGGATGTACTGGGGCGCTATATCTAGCGTAATCCTGCCGTAATCCCTTAAAGCCAATAGCCTCGCGTGGTTATACGCAGAGTGATTCTATCTTCTAGAAGGGTCTATTCCCTTTGGATAGGATAAACATGGTTACCTGATGTACTCTGGAAGTATAAAAGCGCCTTGTACTGATCGATAGTGCAATCTTTCCTCAAGTCATTCGATCCTGTAACACTTGGTAATCAGAGCTTTTCTCACTCGGCCGCGCTCAACAAAGCAGCAGCAGCGGGAAAACCTGCCTCGAAAAACCGCCGGGGGCGACCAATTCGACGCCGATTCTGGTAAGCACCAGCTCCGTGATTTTTCGAACTACCCCCCCCCCCCCCCCCCCCCCCCCCCCCCCCCGCGTGTTTTGAACAGGATGGCAACCTTCGACAACGCCGAGGTTACCCAACAGCTCTTCGCGCGCATCGCAGCCCTGCAGGAGGAGATGCGAGCAGATCGCGAAGCGTGGCGAAACGAGTTCGAGCAAGTAACTCGACTCGCCAGAGCGCAGCACGATTCGAGAACGGCGGCGACGCAGCAGTCGCAGCAGTTTCTCGAGGCTCCAAAACCGCGCCCACCTGAGCCGTTCGATCCGAGCGATCGAAACTCCGACGCCGGCAGATGGATCGCCGGGATGGAGATCTACTTCGCAGCCGTCGGATGGAGCTCACCAGTCTGGGACGGTCAACGTGTACGACTCGCGGCGACACTGATGCGAGGGCCGGCACTCGAGTGGATTGGCGGCAACAGCACCTTCATCCACGATGAAGCCATGTGGCAGCAGTTCCGCGCCGACCAGCTGAAACGCTACGAGCCGATAAATTCCAAGTTCCTTGACCGGGAAAAAAATAATCGACACCGGCAGTTCAAGAGTGTAGCGCAGTACACGCAGCAGATGGAGGAATTTTATAACCGAATTCCCGACCTGACCGAAGGGGAAAAAGTACAGTCGTACCTCGCCGGGCTGAAGACCGAAGTCAAACGATAAGTGGCAGCGTCAAACTACGCGAGCTACAGTGACGTCGTTTTGGCAGCAGAGCGCTTCGACATGGTCTACGCTGGGACACAGCGGACGCACGTCGGCAGTACGCGACAGGGCGACCGCTCGGCTCACCCCACGTTCGCCGACCCGATGGGAGTCGACAGGTTCGAGGGGCGGCCACGTCCGAAAAACACCAACTACACGTGTGATTTTTGTGGGGTGCCGGGTCATCGAATCTTCGACTGCAACAAAATGAAAGCCGCGCGCGCAGAGTATCGGGCACGCAACAGTGGCGGAAATCCTTCGGCCAATCAGAAGACAAAAAACGGGAGTCGCCAGTGATTGCGGATCTAGCTGGCGAAAAAAAAAAGATCCGGAAGCGGCCGCAGGATTCAGGAAAAATCAACTTCGACGAAGCCGATTCGACGCGAGAAGGAGGAAATGATGGGGGAAAATCTCCACCCCACGACCAGTCTTCGCCAGGGAAAATCGGCGAGAAAAAATACGACTCCGCGAAAAAAGACTATGCCAAGACGGGGAAACTCCTTGAAGACCCAAGAAACTATAAGGATTCGTTAAAGGTATCCTATAAAGATGCTTTAATGAAAGCTTATGATTCTCGAGGGGCTAGAGCCTTGGAGAAAATTCGGGAAGGACTCCAAAAGAAGCAGAAAGTTGTGGAGATTATACCGGTACCGGACAACTTGGGGGAAAAATTAAGGAGTGTGGAAAGAAGCCGACCTTTCCACGGAGTCAACGTCCTCTCCCGACACCAGCCCACAACGACTACCGGTTCCCCAGGGAAGACGTCAGTGGAGCTGAAGCAGCTCAAGAGGAAGCTGGGGGTCTACAAGAAGCTGCAGAAACCCCGAACTCCTCCTCTGGATGCATCCAGTTCAGCAACTTCGACGCGCACAGTCGTCAAGGAAACTCCGGGCCCTGGAGAAGAGCCGTTCTCCAAGCAGCCAGCTCAGGAGTAGATAGTGACACAAAGGTGTGTATGGAATATTGGGATGTACCCTATGACCCAATCAATGAAACCATCTTTGGGTACTCCGAGCAACGCCTGCCCCTCGTGCTCGAGGTCATCTGCAAAGGACGTCGCCTCCAAGCACTCGTGGACAGCAGAGCATCACACACCATCTGTGACAAGGCAGTAATCGACCGACTTCGGGAAGAGTACAAGCCTTCAGGATTCTCTGCAATGATGGTGGACGGCAGCAAGTTACCAGTGCACGGCGAAGCAGTGTTACACCTACAAATCGAACCACTGCGCTGGAGACCTACACTCCCCATCACCAACATCAAAGGGCTTGACTTGATCTTCGAGCGAGACTTCCTAAAAAGATTCAACCCCGAAATCAACTAGGTTAATCACACCACAAGCATCTACAACAATGGACGGAGAGTACAGTTACCCAACTGGGACGATATAGGAGATATCCCAGTGGAGACACTCGCACGATTCAAGAAGGACGTGAAGCGAACCGACACCGGGTTCTTGGCGATAGCAACAGAGGTGGAGAATGACGGAGAGAAGACCTCGGAACCTCCGGGAAAATCAAGGAATTATTGAAGGAGTTCCAAGACATTCTTCGTGACGATCTTCCGAATGAGCTACCGCCATACCGAACGCATCAACACGAGATCGTGGAGGAACCGGGTTCGAAGCCGACCTTCCGAGCACCATACCGGCTCAGCCCTACGGAGCTGACCGACATGAAAAAACATATCGAGTATCTCCTCGCCAAAGGACTCATCCGGCCATCTACTTCGCCATACGGTGCCCAGTGCTCTTCACATCGAAACCGGACGGAAGCCTGCGCATCTGCATCGACTACCGATCTCTTAACAAGCAGACCATCAAGAATAAATATCCGATACCACGAATCGATGACCTGCTTGACCAGCTTCGGGGAGCTACGGTATTTTCCAAACTAGATATGCGGTCCGAATACTGGCAGATACGGATGGCGGACAACTCTATCCACAAAACTGCTCTCCGAACTCGGTATGGATCGTACGAGTATTTGGTAATGCCGTTCGGACTCACCAACGCACCGGCAACATTCCAAGCCGAAACGAACCACATTCTACGACCACTTTTGGATGATTGCGTGGTGGTGTACCTGGACGACATCCTCATCTACTCGTGCGACATGAAACAGCACAACAAACACCTGTGACGCGATTCGAAATTCTTCGACGAGAACGATTCTACGTTAAACTGTCCAAGAGAGAATTCGCCCTTGAGAAGGTCCAGTTCCTAGGACACATGGTGAGCGCTCAAGGAGTTCACGTCGACCCCAAGAAAATCGAAGCCGTACGTACGTGGAAGACACCCAAGAACGTGAAGGAGTTATAGCAGTTCCTAGGCTTCGCTAATTACTACAACAGGTTCGTGCCACAGTACGCGAAACTTGCAGCACCACTCACGAATCTGCTGAAGAAGAACACGCCCTACAAATGGGAGCCACAGCACTAGGAAGCCGTGGAGCAGCTGAAACAAGCACTCACGTCCACACCAGTACTCATCTTGCCAGATCCCGAACGCGACTACGTTATCAAAGCTGACGTTAGCGACCAGGCAGTGAGAGCAGTCTTGATGCAAGATCAAGGAAATGGATTGCAACCAATCACCTACCTCAGCAAGAAACTGCACGGGGTAGAACTAAACTACCCGATACACGACAAAGAGGCCCTTGCCATTGCCATCGCCTTCAAAGCGTGGAGATGTTATCTCGAAGGACGAAGAACAACCGTCTACACCGACCACTGCAGCCTGAAATACTTGAAGACACAACCCAACCTTTCCTGGCAGCAGGTCCGGTGGATCGACTTCCTCGAGACACACTTCAACTACGACATCGTGTACAAGCCCGGCCACAAAAACAAAGCAGATGCCCTCAGCCGGCCTGCACACGTTGCCGCTATTCAGATCGAAGGGATGAATCCACTCCTCAAGGGACTCTTCACACACGGGTATGCCATCGACCCCGAAATTCCCTTGGCAGAAAAGCGACATCTGCTACAGTGGGACAGTGACATCGCGTATCGGAAAGGATTAACAAAAATCTGGGTACCCAATTACCCTCCTTTGCGCCAGTTACTACTCGAAGAATACCACGACGTCCTCTACGCCGGACAGTTCGGCAGCAACAAGACGCTGACCGGTATTGCAAAACACTACTACTGGCCCCACTTGACAGAGGATGTTCAGAAGTTTGTCACCTCGTGTGATACATGTCAGTGGATGAAGAGCAGCAAGCAGAGGAAGGCAGGACTACTGCAGCCTCTTCCTGTCCCAGAACAGCCATGGCAAGTGGTTAGCCTGGAATTCATCACCGGGTTACCACCTACCTCCAGCGGTCATGACGCAATCCTTGTCGCCATCGACAAGTTCTCCAAAATGGGACACTTCATCCTGACACACACGACAGCACGAACCGAGGAGACAGCACAACTGTTCGTTCGTTACATCATCTCAGAGCATGGCATTCCAACCACACTTATCTCCGACCGAGACCCCAAGTTCACCAGCAAGTTCTGGAAGGAACTTATGTCTCTACTCGAGACCAAACTCGCCATGTCATCTGCTTACTATCCGCAGACAGACGGACAGACCGAGCACCTCAACCAAATTGTCTAGCAACTCCTCTGAGCAACGTGCAAGGACGATCTCCAAATGGGACTTGCACCTGCCCATCCCAGAGTTTGCTTACAACAACGCTACACATGCCGCTACGGGACAAATGCCGTTCATCCTGTGCTACGGACGCCACCCACTCACACCACAGAAACCGACAACATCCGCTACAGTCCAACCTGCACATGATTTCATCACAACCATGCATCAGCTTTGGGATCGGACCCACAAGCGCCTCCTCGACATTCAGCAGCAACAAAAGCGCCAGGCCGATCGCCATCGCAACAACCACACCATCACGGTGGGAGACCAGGTGCTTCTTGACACCCGTTACCTGGACATCAGCCACCTACCATCGAAACTTCGACCTCGCTTCTGCGGGCCTTTTTTTGTTGACGCACAGGTCACTCCTGTTACCTTCCGCTTACGCCTGCCAGCTACTTGGAAGATTCACAATGCCTTCCATGTCCAACTTCTAAAGCCCTATCGGGATCCGAACACGATCTTCGTCGGACGCCAACCGCCGCCGCCGCCGCCCGTCCTCGTCCAGAATGAGCCCGAGTACGAGGTCGAGTCCGTGCTTGCACACCGCCGTCGTCGGAATGGCACCGTGGAGCTTCTCATCCGTTGGAAGGGTTATGATCCTTCTGAGGACAGCTGGGTACTTGAGACCGACATGGGTAACGCCCGTCGTCCTCTGCATGACTACCTTGTCAAGCAAGGTGTTACTTCTACCACCCAGCTTTGAGGGGGGGACGTGTGAGAGTACGACCCCGTTACACCACTTGGCCTTTCCTTATTTCCTTCCTACTTCATTTCTCTTTTTATCTCATCTCATTTGGTTTCCTATTCTCTATTTTCCATTATCCTTTGGTTTATCCTGATATTCTAATTATATCACCGACCAGGCTTGAGATGTACTGGGGCGCTATATCTAGCGTAATCCTGCCATAATCCCTTAAAGCCAATAGCCTTGTGTGGTTATACGCAGAGTGATTCTATCTTCTAAAAGGGTCTATTCCCTTTGGATAGGATAAACCTGGTTACCTGATGTACTCTGGAAGTATAAAAGCGCCTTGTACTGATCGATAGTGCAATCTTTTCTCGAGTCATTCGATCATGTGACACGAGGAGTCATTTGGGATTACCTCATTGGGTACCCAGTGAGTGCGCATGACTGTCGCTTTTTTGTAAACAGTAAAATGTATGAGCGCCTATAGAACGGTGATATAGCCCCATACCAAATAGTTGGGGACGCTGCTTATACCTTAAGGTCTTATTGCTTCACACCACTACATGCCCCACACGGACGATTACTGCTTGAGTGGCAACAGACATACAACTATTGTCAGCCAGCTACGTGAATGTGCATCGAATGCGCCATTGGTGCATTCAAAGGACGTTGGCGGCTTTTCGGTGGGCGCAACGAGTGCTGCATTTGGTGTGTGCTTGCCGGAGCCTAATGCACTGTGGTGCTTCACGGCATGGTCCTGTAGATGGCAAGCACAAGCATGAGGAGGATCAACATGAGGGGGTACAATATCATGGCGAATCAAGACCCATGGTGGACACGGGCAGACATAGCGGAAAAGGTGTGGTCCCCGTGCCCCAACAATATCCCCCAGGAACTCCAGGAATGACGCAAGAGGCTTGGAAAGGCATTGCATGGGTCTTACCTTAAGCGAAGTCGGCGCGGCGCCACTCTTCCACCTCATCATCCTGAGTAGTGACGCCACCAGTCGGCGCTGCCGCGGTACTTGCCCTCTCCGTGTCCCGCTGTACGCCGCTCTCTGCAGCCGTCGCCAAACCACCGAGTTGTGGAGTCTCGAATCCCATCGGAGTACGCGCGCGCGCTGGGCTCGTGGCTTGCACTGTACGCCATGGCTCTGCGAAGGCGGGATGCGGTGGCGCCGATGCGTTGGCCTCCATCCAGGTGTGGAATAGGCCTTCAATCTTGGCCATGCCTTCGGCATGGCACTCACTTAGAGTGGCGGCTAGCAGATTCGCGCCCGCCATAGTCGCTGTAGCGTTGGCACGGCAGCGGGCGGGCGGGCAGAGGATCGGGTGGCGACGTCAACCCTGTTGGTGAAGGGGAGTTTCCCACTTTGCAAGGGTGTAGATAGGAGGTTAGTTATCGAGGGGGGAGGGGAGGGAGGTGCGACAGTTGATATCAATTTAAATGTTTGCAGAGCAATGTTTGATAAGAGCCATGTTCTTTAAAGCCCGCGGCCCAAATTGCAAGCACAGGGTGTCAATCGCACTGCGTTTGAAAGGGGCAGTTGGAGGGGTTACTAGAACTGAAGTGTGTTGTTTGTTGCCAATGCAAGTCCCTCGGCAAACACTGAAGTTGAAACAGCCTGCATTTTGGGACTCGGCAACACACACAGAATTCTCTGATTTTGACGGTCGATATTTGTCGAGATCGGATATACAGCTCGGTACTGATTGCAGGTCGTCGATTTGAAAACTTTCAGCTTTTTGGGTTTGGCCCGTCGGATCAGTCTTATGTTAATCGGATGGCCCAAAATTCAAGGATTTCTACCAGACCTGTTTCAGCAGACAAAACACGATTGATTCCTTGAGCAAAACAAATGCTTCTTATTGGCTGCCAGCAACCACCTCTCTAGTTACGACAACAAAATAACATGCTTTTGCGATATTTTCTCTAAATTTGCTAAAACCACTGCTCACGTTCATAAGCACTGCGTATGAACAATTTGGGCAGCCGGCTTTAAAGTGATAAAAAACGTAGACACACGCACAACAGACCTGTGTTTGTAGGCGTATCACCACGAGCAGCTGCTTCGAGTGGGACGTGTAGGCTGGGATCCGCCGTCAAGTCTGGGGCTCCACCACCCTCGACCACATGCGGCTCCACTACCGCCGTGTTCTTGAGGATCAGGTACACGTAGTTGTACCAAGGCGCTTTGAGCACTGCCCCTCCGCCCGAAGCCATGTCACCCTTCATAATATCGCGGTATTCCATCACCAACCTCTTGCACGCCGCAACCTCTCGGCACCATTCTGGTTCCAATCCATAAATGTGCACGATGAGTTTCTCCCAGTAATGGGAGCCCTCCTTTCCCGCCATCGCTGTTTGGTCTTTGTTAGTGAACCAATGGTCGGCTGCGAGCATCATCGACTCACGCAGCGTCCACTGCGAGCAGGGCTTCCCTTGAGGGACTGGCGCAGGCACCGTATGAGCAGGAGTCGCGGCTACAGTCGTGCGCCTTGTACTGGGCGCCCCCGCTTCAGTGGGGGTGCGACGGGCGGTGGCACTGGCATGGAGGCAAACTAGTAGTACTCGTCCTCTTTGTTCGCGTCGTCGTTGGCCGCCTCGCCGTTGCTCTCATCGGTTGCGCCGATGTCATCGTCGTAGCCAGCGCTGGGCGAAGCTGCGTCTTCTGACGGAGCGGCGGACGAGAGGTGTTGGGCATGGGGCTCTGCTGGTTCGGCGTACTCGCCCACATGTGATGGAGCGGGCGTGATAAGCCCTCCTGGCTTGCAAGCTGCCTATTTATGTAGGCCATGTAGGGTATCTCACCTAGGTGAAGCGGGCAAGAGCCGTCGTCTAAGGTGCGCTTGTGTACCATCTTGCGTACAGTCGAATCTAATGCTGTCCTTAGAGAAATGAATTATGGGCGGGCCTAGCGACTGTCGTGGGTCTTGTGCTCGATATGTACGCCTCTCGATAGTTTTCTGTATTGTGCTTGGGATGTTGGTTTTCCTCCTCTATGGGCTTGTTTGCAGTTTCTGGGTTGTGCTCGCTGTTTCGCGTCGCAACGACTTTTTCCACGCTAGCTGCATGGTTGTGCACTCTGCGCTTTTTCCGGGGGGTGATTGTGAGCGGGGCGTTGATTCCATCTTGATGCCCGACATTTGTATCACATTCGCTCTCGTTAATGGTCTTGTAGCGGTGCGCATTGGCGCGCTGTATGGGTTTGTCCACCTAGCCGCCTGTTACACTCGCACGCCGCTGGTGCACGCTCGTTCTGCTTGCGTCGCTCACCCAATCAAAATTTTCACATGATGCCAGCTCATTACCCATGATGGTAGATCCGTTATGAATGGGACTGCCGAGTAGCGCGGGGGGCAATGGCGAAACTGTGAACGAGTGAATGACAATAAAATGAAAGAACACACAATATATAGAAAACCTAGGGTGATCCTGGACGTAGGATCAGAAGGTTCGGGAAAAGTGTCGAAGGGTCTCGATGTGTCGTAGCGAGGTCCGGAAAGGCCCAGGAGGCTCGAACTAAAAGGTCTGGAACCCTGGCGATGGTTCGGGACTGTTCGAGTCGTACGCCCTGTAGCAAGCCTCAGTAAGGAATTACGCATTCCTTACGCTCTCCCCCCTTCTAGATAAGCACACAAATAAACAAAACTACACACACTCTAACTGAATCTCGTAGTAGTGAAGCCACCACTGTTGAGAATCTCGAGCTTCTTCAAAGAAACTCCATCCAACGGTCGAAACACGTCGAAACGATCGCCATCGATCGTAGCCGTCGAATCTTGGTCGAATTACCCTAATAACCAAACGGGCAGTAGGGAAACTACCGCACCACAGTTTCCTTGTCTCCAGCGAATCCTTCGCCGATAATTACAAACCCAATCGTCGTGTACTGTATCCGCACAGTAACACCATGGTATTCATACTGCTGCAAGTTGGCGAGCCGAATCTTCTGCCTGCGCCAATCTTGTACGTAGTTCCACCACTGTAGAACGCTCCCCTTAAATTCCACGTGAGTCGTGACACTCGCAGTAACACGCGTCCGTATTTCGCAAAGTCAATGAACTCCTGATATTCGTCAAATGCGAGGTCACTCGCGACACATGCGAGAACACGCGTCCGTGTCTCACGAAAGTCAGCGAATTCCATCAGCACATGGACAAAAGCTCGACCAGTCCAGTAAGCATAGTCAATGTCGCCAAAGGCGGTCAATGTAAACACGCCTTTGCCTTTCGCGAACACCTGCGAAATCTCCGACATGCCAACTCGAATCGGTCCGTCGATTCAGCCGGCCAAACAGCATCTGTCCGTCGATGCTCATGCAGCGGATGTCAAACTGTCGAGGGTAAATCCAACAAGGCTCGACGCCCAAGCGTCCGAAGGGTTGCGTAGTCTGTAGATTTCCAATGTTTAGAATCGTAAGAATAATATAGTTGGTATGACATTTAGATTTGTTGTGGTATAATCGATACTTAGCATTTCTGTAAGTTGATCAGGTGTAGTTAGTGTCGAATCCTACTGTAGAAATTACACTGACGGAAAGTATTGCCCTGATAAAATCCAATTTTAGGTTCACCAAATGATTTGAATGCTTTCAACCGATGTATCTTTGAATCTTCAAAGCATTAGGGTAACACGTTTGCAATATGAAGTGGTCGCACTAATAGCGTGGACAAGATTTCAGTCGCGTGAGTGCATCCGGACAGTTTCGGCCAAGCAGCGGACTAGATCCGTTTTTGACTATATTATTTGGAGGAATGTATTATTTGGTTGGGAATCAAAATATATCGTAAAAATATTATAAATAATTTTATTTAAATAATGATATTTATGATACTATAAAGAATATAGATGATTCTTTATGGTCTGGATGGGGGAAAATGTACAGATGTAATTTATATCATATTACAATAACCGCGTTGAGCACAACACAGGCTTTTCACCTTTGTCTAGGTCACATCAAGGGTTTATTAATATAAGTATACACACATAGTGATATGATATGGATATTGGTCTAATGATATTGATATACTGGTTTTCGCATAATTATGATTTTGACGTATGTGTTAAATTGACATGAATATACTTATATAACGGCTAAATTAATTTAAGTATACACATGTAATAATATCATGCTTATATTGATATAATGATTTTGTCATCCTTCTGTAGCCTCATCATTATAGCATTAGGTTGTAACACGCTGGATTTGGCATCCAAGCATGTGCCGAAGCCGAAACTACGCAAGAAACCTGCTTGTTCCTGTTCAATGAATTATTGACGAAACATTCTGAAGCGTAATCATTACGGGCTGAGGTACCTCAAGTATCGCATGTGGTGTCACAAGCTTGTACCAGCTTGAAGTCGAAATCGGCAACTACAGCACCTGAGAAACCTGACTACAGTACCTCATGTTCTGTACAGTACGAACAACAAAACGCGCATCGGGATGGGGTTTACGTTTCTTGCTTCGTCGTTCCTGTGCGTTTCTTACTTCCTCCTCCCTATGCGTTTTTTGTTTCCTGCTCCTCGTGCGTTTCTCGTTCAGACATTCATTCATCTCAGCTAGCTTTCCAGCTTCTCTCACATTCCTTCCCACAAGCTTTCCAGACTTTCAAGTTTCAATCAGCTTATTTACCTGGTAAGTGTAGAACCGCTGGGAGCGTCTCCTTAGAGCTGGCGCTGGCGCTGGCGCTGGCTCTAGCGCTAAGCCTTTGGCGCTGGTGCTGGCGCTGGTCGCACTGGCACTGGCGATTTGGCGCCGGGCGCTGGTGTTTTGGCGCTGGCGCTGGCACTGGCGCTGCCGTTTTGGCGCTGGCGCTGGCGCTTTGGCGCTGACGCTGGCGCTTTGGCGCTGGCGCTGGCACTGGCGTTTCGGCGCTGGCATTTTGGCGCTGGCGATTCGGCGCTGGCGAGTTGGCGCTGGCGAGCTGGCGTTGGCACTGGTACTGGCACTGGCGAATAGGCACTAGCACTGGCGCTGGCGCTGGCGAGGATTCGTCGTCCCCCTCCGTTCCTCCCCCTTTGCCGTCCCCCCTCCGTTCCCCCCCCCCTTTCTCTTCCCCCCTCGGCCCCTTCCCCTTTGTCGTCCCCCTTCCGTTCCCTCCCCTTTGTCGTCCTCCCTCCGTTCCTCCCCCTTGGCCGTCCCCCCTCCGTTCCTCCCCCTTGGCCCTCCCCCCTCCGTTCCTCCCCCTTTGTCGTCCCCACTCCGTCCCCCCCCTTGGCCGTCCCCCCTCCTTTCCTCCCCCTTTGTCGTCCCCTCTCCGCCCCTCCCCCTTTTGTCGTCCCCCCTCCGCCCCTCCCCCTCAGTCGTCCCCCCTCCCTCCGTCCCCGTTTGTCGTCCCCCCTCCGTTCCTCCCCCTTGGCCGTCCCCCCTCCGTTCCTCCTCCTTGGCCGTCCCCCCTCCGTTCCCCCCCTTCGTCGTCCCCCATCCGCCGCTCCAACTTTGTCGTCCCCCCACCGACCCTCCCCCTTTGCCGTCCCCCTTCCGTTCCCCCCCCTTTGCCGTCCCCCCTCCGTTCCTCCTCGCATTGTCGTCCTCCCTCCGTTTCCCCCCTTTTCTCATCCCCCCTCCGTCCCTCCCCCATTTGTCGTCCCCTCTCCGCCCCTCCCCCTTAGTCATCCCCCCTCCGTCCCTCCCCGTTTGCTGTCCTCCCTCCGTTCCTCCCCCTTTGCTGTCCCCCCTCCGTTCCTCCCCCTTTGCTGTCCCCCCTCCGTTCCTCCCCCTTTGCTGTCCCCCTTCCGTTCTTCCCCCTTTGCTGTCCCCCCTCCGTTCCTCCCCCTTTGCTGTCCCTCCTCCGTTCCTCCCCCTTTGCTGTCCCCCCTCCGTTCCTCTCCCTTTGCTGTCCCCCCTCCGTTCCTCCCCCTTAGCTGTCCCCCCTCCGTTCCTCCCCCTTTGCTGTCCCCCCTCCGTTCCTCCCCCTTTGCTGTCCCCCCTCCGTTCCTCCCCCTTTGCTGTCCCCCCTCTGTTCCTCCCCCTTTGCTGTCCCTCCTCCGTTCCTCCCGCTTTGCTGTCCCCCCTCCGTTCCTCCCCCTTTGTCGTCCCCCTTCCGTTCCCCCCCTTGGCCGTCCCCCCTCCGTTCCTCCTCCTTGGCCGTCCCCCCTCCATTCCCCCCCCTAGTCGTCCCCCCTCCGCCGCTCCCCCTTTGTCGTCCCCCCTCCGACCCTCCCCCTTTGCCGTCCCCCCTCCGTTCCTCCTCGCTTTGTCGTCCCCCCTCCGTTCCCCCCCTTTTCTCACCCCCCCTCTGTCCCTCCCCCTTTTGTCGTCCCCCCTCCACCCCTCCCCCTTAGTCATCCCCCCTCCGTTCCTCCCCCTTTGCTGTCCCCCCCCGTTCCTCCTCCTTTGCTGTCCCCCCTCCGTTCCTCCCCCTTTGCTTCCCCCCCTCCGTTCCTCCCCCTTTGCTGTCCCCCCTCCGTTCCTCCCCCTTTGCTG